ATTCCAGTCTGGGCGACAGAGTAAGACTCCAACTCCAAAAAAAAAAAAAAAAGAAATAACCTTCCTCATGAATACTGTGAGGCAAATGTCAGGATTTAAATATTACCCGGGCCGGCAAAGTTACAGGTAAAATATTAATGACCAGGGAAGTGAAAACACCCGGGGCTCCTCCTGCATCTGCCACAGACAGAGTTGCATGCAGGGGGAGGAGGACTCGGGGCATACAGGACGCTCGGGACACGGCTGCTGGGCCCTGGGGCTCAGGGGCGTCTACTTCTTATCCATGGAGACCTGTCATTAGGACAAGGGTGACCAAGCCTGTGGGGGCTAGCGTGTGCTAACCGGTTGTGGTGAATTCATCAGCAAAGCGCTGATGCAACAGGGTCTTTTTTTTTTTTTTTTTGAGTTGGAGTCTCACTCTGTCACCCAGACTGGAGTGCAATGGCCGCTCCCGGCCACTGCAGCCATGACCTGCCGGGCTCCAGCGATCCTTCCGCCTCAGCCTTCCGAGTAGCCGGAATTACAGGCATGTGCTACCACGCCTGACTGATTTTTTTATTTATTGTAGAGATGAGGTCTCGCTGCCCAGGCGGGTCTCAAACCCGCGGGCTCAGGCAATCCACTCACCTCAGCCTTCCGAGTAGCCGGAATTACAGGCATGTGCTACCACGTCCGACTGATTTTTTGATTTATTGTAGAGATGAGGTCTCGTTGCCCAGGTGGGTCTCAAACCCGCGGGCTCAGGCAATCCACTCACCTCAGCCTCCCAAAGGCGCGGGATTACAGGCTGAGCCACCGAGCCCGGCTTCACCTTTCTTTTTTGAAATGGGATCTCGCTCTGTTGCCCAGGCTGCAGTGCAGTGGCACTATCATGGCTCACCGCAGCCTCCAACTCCTGGGCTCAGGTGATCCTCCCACCTCAGCTTCCCAAGCAGCTGGGACTACAGGCACGCACCATCACACCCAGCTAGTTTTTTGAATTTGTGTAGAGATGAGGTCTCGCTCTGTTGCCCAGGATGGTCTTAAACTCCTGGGCTCAAGCAATCCTCCTAAAGGGCTGGGATTACAGGCATAAACCACCACGCTCGGCCACGACACCTCCCTTCTAACTGGTCTCCTTCTCTGCTCTACAGGGTCCCAACTGCCATCCAACCCATCCAACCACAGAAAGAAGAGTTCACAGGACTACAGGGCGGCAGCGCCCACCCTCGGAGGCCACGGGAGGCATCTCTGAGTACGGTGACCACGAGTCAGAGAGGGCGCCAGGAGACAGGTGGCCGGCAGCCCCAAGGGATCAAGCAAGATTGTCCTCCTGCCACTGGGCCCAGAGGAAAGGCTGGCGGGAAACCCACCATCGCACACACCCATCACAGGCTCTGTACCTGCACTTAGGAATCTGCCCCAGCTCCCGCCCAGACAGATATGTAGTTCCACCTTCGTCACGAGAATTAAACTCTTGCATCTGTGGAAGCCTCACACTGACCCTGGGTCCTGCATTTTGAGCTTCTCTGGTGGTTTGAGATCTTACAACGATGGCTCACGCCTCGCCTGTCATCCCAGCACTTTGGGAAGCCGAGGCAAGAGGACTGCCTGAGCCCACAGGTTTGAGACCAGCCAGAAACTTCGTGAGACCACGTCTCTACAATAAATCAAAAAATTAGCCGGGTGTAGTGACACATGCCTGTAGTTCCAGCTACTTGGGAGGCTGAGGTGGAAGGATCACCTGAGCCCAGCAGGACTCCAACTCAAAAAAAAAAAAAAAAAAAATCCACAACTATGGTAATAAGATAAGCGCACACATGATGTCCACGGTGACTCCCGCTGTGCTGCCTCCTGGAAACCCACCAAGGGCAGGTGTCAGGCGCTCACACCGGTGAAAACCAAGAGGCAACTGTGTGGCACGCTTGTATGCTGGTGAGCGTGACAATGGTCACCACTTCACCGTGTGTGTACAGCAAGGCTTACACTGCACACCTTATGTTGTTTCTAAAAAGAATTTTTTTAATAAATAAATTAAGCTGGGCTTGGTGATTCAGCCTGTAATCCCAGCGCTTTGGGAGGCTGAAGTGAATGGATTGCCTGAGCCCGCGGGTTTGAGACCCGCCTGGGCAACTTGGCGAGACCTCATCTCTACAATAAATCTAAAATCAGCCGGGTGTGGTAGCATGTGCCTGTAATTCCAGCTACTCCAAAGGCTGAGATGGAAGGATCGCCGGAGCCCAGCAGGTCGAGGCTGCAGTGGCCGGGAGCGGCCACTGCACTCCAGTCTGGGTGACGAGTAAGACTCCAACTCAAATAATTAATTAATTAATTAATTAATTAAAAATATAAATAAATTTGTAAGAGGAAAGGAAGAAGATCACAGGCCTTCTCCTGCTGCCCCAACTGTTCAGACGCTCTGGGCCCCGGGGCGGCCCCTCCTGCCCCACGGAGGCATCCAGGGTCTTTGCTGGCCCCTCCCTCCTTGACCACGTCACCTTCTGCTCCAGCGCCTGCCACGCCCACCCCAAGAGGGGAAGTCCACCCAGGGGCCTTCCTGGCAACACCAGCCTGGCCTGCCTTTGTCCTGGGTGCCGCGGTACCTACCCTATCCTGTCCACCAGGTCCCAGAGCACGTTGGGCGTGGGCACCAGCGGGGAGCCGTCGTACAGCACCACGGCCGCGCCCGTGGCCAGGGCGGACACCATCCAGTTCCACATCATCCAGCCAGCCTGCGACGACAGGGGAGGTGGGGATTCAGCAGGGTTGAGTGGCCCCTCAGCTCCACCCCTCGGCTTCTGTGTCCCCAGAAAGCCACCTAAAACAGAGCACGGTGGGCACTAGCCACTGTCCCACGCACACGACGCTGTGGCCCAGCAACTCCGTGTCTCAGAGCTGATGGTTCAGGCAGATTCACACACGTGAATGTTTGCTGCGGCCCCACTGGTGATGAGAGACAGCGATGTAGGCACCGCTGACACAAGCCCACATGTGGTGCACACACCAGAGATCACGATGCATGTGACTAGCCAACCCTGTAAAGCACCAGAGTCGCCCCGGCACCCGGCAGCAGTCAGCACTGTGCAACCAGGAGGGGTGAGGGCTGGGGACACTCGAAACCACAGGCCCAGGGCTGGGGGCACTAGAAACCACTGCCACCCAAGTTATCATCAAGCTTGCTCCATGGACACATCTAGCCGCCCAATCTTTCCTGGGCAGGATCCTTCAGGAAAAGTGACACACCTTTGAGAGAAACGCGGCAGAGCTCCAAGTTCTTCTGCATGTATTCCCTCGGGTCAAAGCCCTGTCGCTGTCAAGGGCCTGACAGGGGAGGCAGGTGAGCCCTGCAGTACTGGCTGGGACTTTCTGCAACTCAGGAAGGACACTGTCCTGATGCTGCACATGGGTGTCCCGCCTGGAGGTGTCCGGGCAAGGACACAGTTCGTTAGCCCGTGGGTGGTGGCCATAGCACCAGTGTTCCACAGCTGAGAACTGGTGGGAGCAGACAAGTCCCCTAGCTCAGGAACCCAGAGTCTTTGGCCCAAGCCTCCAATCCATGCTGGACACAGAGTGGGAAGTGGCCTGTCCGTGGTCAGGCCTGAAGAGAACACCCTGGGTCCCTCTCACGTGTATGTGTGGCCCTGGGGGTCTGTCCCCTCCCTCTGTGTGTGGCCCTGGGGGTCTGTCCCCTCCCGTGTCAGTGTGTGGCCCTGGGGCCTGTCACCAGGGCACAGCCAGGGCCCTGGGCTCAGGCCACAGGTCAGGGTTGGGCCTCCCCGTCTCATTTCCTCTATGACTCGGCCCAGCAGCACCATCTGGGAAGCAGAGCTGGATCCTGGGTCCCCTCGGCTCTGCACTCTCCTCCGTGGGGGTGAAACACGCCTCCTTTAGATTATCCTCCCCCAAGCTTGAACTCGAGCTCTGGTTTAATGATGCAGGCTCCATGCCGCTCCCAGGAGGTGTGGGGATGGCAGGGGTGTGCCCTTCCTCAGAGTCTCAGCACCGAGGGGGCCCGACGTGGAATGAGGGGGAGGCGAGCGGGTGTCGGTGCGGTGCGGGCCTCACCGTGGTGTAGTACAGGAGGACGTCGCTGCTGGTCATGTCCCCGTGAAGCATGTGCTCTTTCAGGTGCTGGATGAGGGTGCCCTGTGGGGAGAGGTGTGGTGAGGTGGCGCTCCGCAAGCACCCAGGACAGAGGCAAAGGTGCCGCTCAGATGCTCGCCAGGAGAAGCCCAAGCAGATCCCCTCCTTCTTCCCCGGTGGAAGCAGACTGTGGAGCCCCGGACTTGAAGAACCGTAAGTCGCATCACCCTACCACCTGATGTCCCAGTGGGGCTCACAGCCCGGAGGAGAAACTCCCAATGCACGCCTGCCTGCCCACAAGTCATTGAGGGCACTAGGGAGACCTGCCGCCTCTGGGCAGATCACTCCAGCCTGGGCAACAAGAGTGAGACCCTGACTCAAAAATCACAACAGCCAGTCGGGCTCCGTGGCTCAGCCTGTAATCCTGTGCCTTGGGAGGCCGAGGTAAGTGGATTGCCTGAGCCTGCGGGCTCAAGACCCGCCTGGGCAACTTGGCAAGACCTCATCTCTACAATAAATCAAAAATTAGCCAGGCATGGTAGCGCATGCCTGTAATTCCAGCTACTTAGAAGGCTGAGGCAGAAGGATCGCCGGAGCCCAGCAGGTCGAGGCTGCGGTGGCCGGGAGCGGCCACTGCACTCCAGTCTGGGTGACAGAATGAGACTCCAACTCAAAAAAATTTTTAAAATTTAAAAAATAAAAATTACGGGGAAAACTCCTGATGTGAATTAGTAAGACTAACACAGAGACACCCCGAGAGGGTAGCGAAGCCTCGTGTGTCCTGTGCTGTCTGTGAGAACGAGGAAGAGGAGCCTGCTGGCCAGTGTGGCACACAGATCGGCGGTGCTGACAGCGGACCGTGTGGGCCGAGATGCAGATTTAAATTAAATGTGGGTTTTAAGTAAAAAAGAAAACGGGAGGTGGATTTGCCCCAGGTTCCTAGAACCGGGGAGTTCCTGGTGCCCTAAATGGATTCCTCATGGAAGGGTTTAGTTTGTGGAAAGAGTTCCTGAAAAGTTGGTCACTCCCCAACTACTGCATACCCACTGGGTGCGAGAACAGAGTGTGTGATGGAACTTTCTATGGAAGCCTGTGAGTGCCGGGGTAGGGCGTCTCTTGACCCTCACAGTGGAGTCCCGTGGAAGTCCACCCTGCAGGCTCAGCAATCCATTCACCTCAGCCTCCCAAAGCATGGGACTACAGGCTGAGCCACCAAGACTGGCTATTCCCCATAATTTTTAAATGGCTGGCTTTTCTTTTTGAGTTGGAGTCTCACTCTGTCGCCCAGGTTAGAGTACAGTGGCATGCTCATGGTCACTGGAACCTCGACCTGCTGGGCTTAGGCAATCCTTCCTCCTCAGCCTTCCAAGTAGCTGGAATTACAGACGCACGCCTGGCTAATTTTTTGATTTATCTTCCAAGTAGCTGGAGCTACAGACGCACGCCACCACGCCTGGCTAGTTTTTGATTGATTGTAGAGATGAGGTCTCGCCAAGTTGCCCAGGCGGGTCTCGAACCCACGGGCTCAGGCAATCCACTCACCTCAGCCTCCCAAAGGCGCGGGATTACAGGCTGAGCCACCAAGCCCGGCTTGTGATTTATTGTAGAGATGAGGTCTCACCAAATTGCCCAGGCTAGTCTTGAACCCACAGGTTCAGGCAATCCTCTCACCTCGGCCTCCCAAAGTTCTAGGATTACAGGCTGAGCCACCGCACCCGGCCTAATTTTTAAATGTTTATGGCAGAGTCTGAATGCTTTCCCTGAGGATAAGAAAGCGTGAACAGCATGGCTTCGTGGGTCTCCAGCAAGAGAGTCGTTTAATTTGAAAAAGGGGAGAGGAAGCTTCTTCTGAGACCTCTCATGGACTTAGAAGACACAAAGCAACAAACCCATCACACAACCCTGCCCCAACACACCAGGAGGATGATAGCTGCCCGATGGCTCTGGCCTGTCCACTTCTTGGAAACAAACAAGGTGCTTCGTCACTTCTCTGGAGATGCAAGGACCCAGTGATGACAGAATAAATAGAATTTTTCCTGATTTTTCCACACTCTAAATATACCAGGTGCAATCATTTTATGAGCAAACTACATTATATCTAATACACTTTTATGTTGCTCTCTAAAAAAATGACATACACTATACAAAAGCACTAAAAATACAAGTACAGCTATACATTTCAATTTTTCCCAAAATGTCTTGTTTGGCCACACCCCCCCCACCCTTGTCTGCGAGATTTCTAAAAATGCTCATCCCAACGGCCTGTTACCGAAGCTGTGGCCGGTGGACCACGGCTGCCCTCCGCAGGAAACATGCAATTCCAGCAACACCATGGACTCAGACATGCCCGACCTGATTTAATAAGATAGGATGGCTTCAGTGAAAGGACAGCTCACCGCCTACCAAGGGGCAGCTCAACTCGACCAGTGTTACTTCCAGAAATAAATTCCCAGTGTCACTTCCCACCCCCGGGTTTTCTGAGCAGTCGCCCACTGTGCGCTAAGAGGTCCATGCCGTGTCTGCGGTTCTATTTCCCTGCTGCATTCAGACTTCTAGGGACTCCAAATCCCGGTGATATTGATACCATGTGAATGCTGTCCACATTCTGATGACAATGCCCCATAAAAAGCCATAGAGGGCTTTACAGTGACTCCAGTGCAAATGTCTCCTCTCCATGGAAGGGACTCACACTGCGTCTAGGTACAGACAGCACCTGTAAACTCTAAGTGAGTAAGAATGAGACATGATGTCTATTTCATTTTCAAATATCAAGCACAGGTTTCTCCACTTGAATAATTCTCTCCTTCTGAGTTAAGGAAGAAACAGGGGTGATTGCAAGCCTTGACCAAGACACTGGATTTTCCCCTCCCTCCACACCAAGCCAACTGAGGGAGAAACTGAGAAACCAGGGACGGAGAGAGCGGAAGAACTGCTGGGCAGGATAGCCCAGAGAGGAGAGAGTGGGCAGCCTCAAGGCTCCTGGCTCCCACAGACCGGCCCAGGAGAGTCCGAGTCCAAGGGGAGACCTCAATCCCCATCAGAGAGAAGCTTTTGCCCCAAGCCCAGGAGCAGAGGAGGAGTTGAGAAATAAGACATGGTGGCAAGCCAGGCTCGGTGGCTCAGCCTGTAATCCCGCGCTTTGGGAGGCTGAGGTGAGTGGACTGCCTGAGTCCACGGGTTCAAGACCCACCTGGGCAACTTGGCGAGACCTCATCTCTACAATAAATCAAAAAAATTAGCCGGGTGTGGTAGCGCGTGCCTGTAATTCCGGCTACTTGGAAGGCTGAGGCGGAAGGATCACTGGAGCCCAGCGGGTAAAGGCTGCAGTGGCCGGGAGCGGCCGCTGCACTCCAGTCTGGGTGACAGAGTGAGACTCCAACTCAGAAAAAAAAAAAGACATGGTGGCAGTTATCAGAAAAGTACCAGAATCACCCAGGAACTTTACTTCTGAAGTATGACCTAGTGAAATCGCAAAAATGAAATAAATTGATATTGACAAAAATGAAATAAACTGACAAACCGTCCCCTCAATATACGGCACTGAGGAGGGGATGGCATCCCTTCTGTGGTATTCCTGCCCAGCTGCAGACCTGGATCTAACCAGAGGCAACATCGGGAAACAGCGGACAGACCCAGCAACAGGCATTCTGCAAACAACAGTCAGGACTTTTCAAGAATGTCACATTAGCCGGGCTCGGTGGCTCAGCCTGTAATCCCGTGCCTTTGGGAGGCTGAGG